ATGCAGCAAGTGAGTTCAATTTTTGCATCCGGGTCCAGAGGAATTCACAGACATTTCTCCGAGACAATTTGGCAGCCATTAATGGCTACTTCTACATCCTCTGTTCGAATCCTTTTCTTTTCTGTTTGCTTGTTCATCGGTTTGTTCATTTCCACTCACGTCTTTGATACCACAATGCACAGTTCACCTTCTTCGATTTCTCCATTTCCTGAAAAACTCAGCAACAAAATCGAATTCCCACTCAATTGCACTCTCGGAAATCTCACTCAAACTTGCCCTAATGATTATTACCCAAAACGATTTCAGAATTTGAAAAATGTATCAGAATCCACCCACATATGCCCTGAATTCTTCCGTTGGATTCATGAAGATCTAAGGCCATGGGCAGAAACAGGGATAACGAAAGAGATGGTGGACAAGGGTAGAGAAACAGCAACTTTCCGTTTAGTGATAGTTAACGGAAGAGCTTACGTTGAGAAATATAAGCAGCCATATCAAACAAGAGACGTTTTCACTATTTGGGGCTTCTTACAGTTGCTAAGAAGGTACCCCGGGCAGCTGCCCGATTTGGATCTCATGTTTGACTGCTTTGACTGGCCTCTCATTCACAAGAAAGACTTTCATGAAGTTGCTCCACCACCATTGTTTCGTTATTGTGGTGATGATGACACTTTGGACATTGTTTTTCCGGATTGGTCCTTTTGGGGTTGGTAAGTCATTACATTTGAATCATTAGGACCATTTATTAAGGATTGGTTGAAAAGGGTATTGCTAAATTTGATGATAAATCTTTCCTATAGGGCCGAAATCAATATAAAACCATGGGAGTCATTGTTGAAGGATCTTGATGAGGGAAACAAAAGGACAAAGTGGGTCGATAGAGACCCGTATGCTTATTGGAAGGGGAATCCATGGGTTGCAGAACACCGAAAAGATCTTCTTGAATGTAATGTTTCAGACACGGATGATTGGAATGCGCGTATTTATATCCAAGATTGGATACATGAAGAACAACATGGTTTTAAGCAATCGAATTTGGCCAATCAATGTGTCCATAGGCAAGAATCAATGTTTTTGTTCTTGATGTCGTTTAATTTTCAAGAACTTGCTAATAAGAACTCTTTTTGTTTAGATTTAAGATATATATCGAGGGATCTGCATGGTCAGTTAGTGAGAAATACATTCTTGCGTGTGACTCGATGACTTTAATGGTGAAACCCCATTACTATGATTTCTTCACAAGAGGGTTGATGCCCGTTCAACATTATTGGCCTGTTAGCATGGATGATAAGTGTAAATCGATCAAGTTTGCAGTTGATTGGGGTAACAATCACACGAAAAAGGTATTATACTTTTTTGCACAGTTTGTTCTAGTAGTAAGAATGTGAGAATGCATAAATGAAATGTAGAGTTTAAGATTGGATATGATATTTTTTTGATATGGAACATTGTGATTTAGGATTTCTTGGCTATTATTTGTGTTTACATAATAGGTGCAAAAAATTGGAAGAGAAGCGAGTAGTTTTATACAAGAAGATTTGAAGATGGATAATGTATACGATTACATGTTTCATCTTTTAACCGGGTATTCAAAACTTCTGAAGTATAAACCAACTATCCCCGATAATGCAATTGAACTTTGTTCGGAGACAATGGCATGCACTTCGGAAGGGCTTGCTAAGCGATTCATGGAGGAGTCTATTGTGAAAGGCCCAACGGACGTGGGCCCATGCACCATGCAGACTCCGTATGATCCTCAAACGCTTAATTCTATACTAGAAAGAAAAGATAATTTAGTTAAACAAGTTGAGAAGTGGGAAAAGGAGTACTTTGAAAAACAAACTAATTAAGGATAGAGTGAATATTTATATTTTGGAACACATTTTTTTTGTTATGATTTAGTCCATAATAGAATAGAATACTTGTTATTGTGTTAAACATATAATGCTATAAGTTATTTACACTTTCGAGCATCTTTCAACTAGTTCAAAAACGATGAATACTTGATCAAACTGATTTTAGTTCAAAAACAAACAATCTGCACAAAATTCTACGAAATTCATTCATCCAATTAAACAAAGACTAGATCATCAAGCAGTCAACATCCATCTGCACATCAAACATAGAAATATTACGAACCCTAATCTGTTCTTGCTATAACAATACCTTAACTCATAAATTGCGAATTCAAATTCAAATCAGTAATGATTCCCAGAAATCAAGATGCTCCCGATCTTATAACTCAAGAAAGCATCGATGCACGCATACTGTACCTGATCCAGAGTCAGCCGTTCATTATCCCAATCACTCATCGTAACATTCTTCGGCTTGATCAACTCCTTCCCCAGAACCCTTCTCGTCAACCCTTTCAACCCTGCATTCCGAAGGTTCCTCATACCATACTCCTCCGCTGCCAATGCTCCAATGTCAGCCGTATTCGCAACCTCTAGGTTCCAATTTTCCATAAGCTTCTCTACATCGTTCTTGATCCCGACGCCGACGAATGTGTAGGCGGGATTACGGAGGAAGTTTCTGAGCGATTGAGGCATTGTAGGCGAGAAGAGGAGTTGAAAAATCATACAGCGGCGTCCCACACACAATTGGAGGGTGGCGACAGGGTTTTCGTAGTTCTGATTGCGGTTAGGACGCCACTCAACATCCAGGCCGACGATTAGGGAGTGGCGACGGCGGCGGTGTTTGCGTTCGATTTCGGATATCCACTTGTCGACGGAGTGTGGTGTTTCGGTTAGTAAAGTTAAAATGTTGTCTTCGAAGAATGTGATCTCGTAGTGGTCATGCTCGTGGGTATCGTCGGGGACGATATGCTCGTAATGGATTATCGACATCGCCATGGCTATGGCTTCTGTGGGGGAGCGTGATTTTGGGAGAGATTGAGAGACGGTTTACAGGATTTGGAACTGGAAGCGGATTTGATTTTATGTCGAAAATGGCAGTTTGTGGTTTTCTTCTAACAATTTGATACATTTCTTTTTTGCTTAAAGGTCCATTAAAATTACAAGTTGGGGAATATCACTTATCAAGGTAATTAACTTTTCGGTATGTTCACATCTGGGTAACTATCTTTTTTTTGTATATATGTAGGTAACAAACTTTTTGGAAGTATTCACATATGACCATTATGACCTACTATAGTAGGTTAAATCCTAGATGTGAACGATTTCAACAAGTTTGTTACCTAGATGTGTACAAAAAAAATTGTTATCCAAATATGAACAAAACGAAAAGTAAAAATTAAATTACATGAATGGTCCCTGTGGTTTGGGGGAATTTGTAGTTTTGGTCGCTAATTTATTTTTTTTAACTTAAATGGTCCCTATTGTTTATTTTTGTTGCACGTTTGGTCCCCATCTTACCTAAAAATACTATTGTGCCCTTATTAGTTTATTTTTTTAATTAGTTTTCTTATCTATGTATTTATTTTTTATATATTTATAAAAATTAATAGATCACACATATTTGTATCTCCTCGGATGATCCCTACTATTTATTTTTTTAATTAATTTAATTTTTTTTAACTCGGATGGTCCCTACTATTTAATTTTGTTACAAACTTGGTCTCTATCTTACCTAAAAAGACTATTGTCCCCTTATTAATTTTTTTTAATTAGTTTTCTTGTTTATGTACTTATGCTTTATATGTTTAAGAAAAATTAGTAGACCTCACATATATGTATCTCCTCACCATCCCATCTTTCATCATTCTCAACTTCTATTTATTTTTCATCTTTAGTGATATCGATGTCTTCATCATCACTTCTTTTTTCGGTCCTTCAACTCCGTCAAATCAACACCACAACCCACTAAAGATGAAGAGACAGTAGGTTATGGTGTTGGTTCGTCAGAGTTGAAGTACCAAAAAAAAGAGACGGTGAAGACGTCGATGTTACTAAAGATGGAAAAGAAATAGAAGATTGAGAGGATCAGAGATGAGATGGTGAATGGTAAGACTCAAATTAAATTTCTCAAATGTGGTTTCAGGTTTACGGTGATGAGATACATATATGTGGGGTATATTAATTTTTTTTATAAAAAATAAATACATAAATAAGAAAATTAATTAAAAAAATTAATAAGGGAAAAATACTATTTTTAGATAACACAGAGATCAAACGTGTAACAAAAATAACAGTAAGGATCATCCGAGTTAAAAAAAAATTTAATTAAAAATAAACAGTAGAGATCATCCGAGGATATACAAATATATGTGGTCTATTAATTTTTTTAAATATGTAAAAAATAAATACATAGATAATAAAATTAATTTAAAAAATAAATTAATAAGGGTATAATAGTATTTTTAGGTAAGACGGGGACCACACGCGCAACAAAAATAAACAGTAGGGACCATTTAAGTTAAAAAAAATAAGTTAGCGACCAAAACCACAAATTCCCCCAAACCACAGGGACCATTCATGTAATTTAATTTTTAATTTTCGTTTTGTTCATATTTGGGTAACTATTTTTTTTGTACACATCTAGGTAACAAACTTGTTGAAAACGTTCACATCTAGGATTTAACCTGCTATAGCAGGTCATAATGGTCATATGTGAACACTTCCAAAAAGTTTGTTACCTAGATATATACAAAAAAAAGATAATTACCCAGATGTGAACATAACGAAAAGTTAATTACCTTGATAAGTCATATTCCCTTCCAAGTTGTACAAGTTATAATTTATTAAAAAACAAAGGGAATATGACTTATCAAGGTAATTAACTTTTAGGTATGTTCACATCTGGGTAACTATCTTTTTTATGTCCATATGTAGGTAACAAACTTTTTGGAAGTGTTCACATATGACAATTATGACCTGCTATAGCAGGTTAAATCCTATATGTGAACCCTTTTAACAAGTTTGTTACCTAGATGTGTACAAAAAAATAAAAATTACCCAAATATGAACAAAACAAAAAGTAAAAATTAAATTACATGAATGGTCCCTATGGTTTGGGGGAATTTGTGATTTTGGTCGCTAACTTATTTTTTTAACTTAAATGGTTCCAACTGTTTATTTTTGTTCCGCGTTTGGTCCCCGTCTTACCTAAAAATACTATTGTACCCTTATTAATTTTTTTTAATTAATTTTCTTATCTATGTATTTATTTTTTTCATATTTAAAAAAACTAATAGACCACACATATTTGTATCTCCTCGGATGATCCCTACTATTTATTTTTTAATTAATTTAATTTTTTAACTCGGTTGGTCTCTACTATTTAATTTTGTTACGAACTTGGTCTTTGTCTTATTTAAAAAGACTATTGTGCCCTTATTAATTTTTTTAATTAATTTTCTTGTTTATGTACTTATGTTTTATATGTTTAAGAAAAATTAGTAAACCTCACATATCTGTATCTCCTCACCATCCCATCTTTCATCATTCTCAACTTCTATTTATTTTTCATCTTTAGTGATATCAACGTCTTCATCATCACTTCTTTTTTTGGTCCTTCAACTACGTTGAATCAACACCACAACCCACTAAAGATGAAGAGACAGTAGGTTATGGTGTTGGTTCGCCAGAGTTGAAGTACCAAAAAAAAAAGACGGTGAAGACGTCGATGTTACTAAAGATGGAAAAGAAATAGAAGATGGGGAGGATCAGAGATGAGATGGTGAATGGTAAGACTCAAATTAAATTTCTCAAATGTGATTTCAAGTTTACGGTGATGAGATACATATATGTGGGATATATTAATTTTTTTATAAAAAATAAATACATAAATAAGAAAATTAATTAAAAAAAATTAACAAGGGAAAAATAGTGTTTTTAGATAAGACAGAGACCAAACGCATAACAAAAATAAACAGTAGGGATCATCCGAGTTAAAAAAATAAATTAATTAAAAATAAACAGTAGGGATCATCCAAGGAGATACAAATATGTGTGCTCTATTAATTTTTTTAAATATGTAAAAAATAAATACATAGATAAGAAAATTAATTAAAAAAATAAATTAATAAGGGCACAATAGTATTTTTAGGTAAGACGGGGACCAAACGCACAACAAAAATAAACAGTAGGGACCATTTAAGTTAAAAAAAATAAGTTAGCGACCAAAACCACAAATTCCCCCAAACCACAGGGACCATTCATGTAATTTAATTTTTAATTTTCGTTTTGTTCATATTTTGGTAACTATTTTTTTTGTACACATCTAGATAATAAACTTGTTGAAATCGTTCACATCTAGGATTTAACCTGCTATAGCAGGTCATAATGATCATATGTGAACACTTCCAAAAAGTTTGTTACCTAGATATGTACAAAAAAAAAAGATAGTTACCCAGATGTGAAAATACCGAAAAATTAATTACTTGATAAGTCATATTCCCAAAAACAAAAGACAATGAAATATTGATTTATTTGTATCATTAACATTTGTTAACATGTATATAGAAATCTTCCATGTAATTAGCTTTTTTTAGTTTAGCATCTAATCTTATCTAAAGAATTTGATTGTTTTTTCATTGAACTATGAAAGGGTATAAAATATACATATATACAAGACAGTTTCCTTAGGCACCAAAGAAACTAGATGGATAACACCTAAAGAAGATATATACTAAAAATAGAGGAACGGCTAACGATTTCCTTTATGCTCTATTCTTTTTGTAAAATATCCATCTCAAATGAAAGATCATGATATCAAAGCTCATGTTTCAAAAATCCAATATAGGTAACGTCACCCTATTACCATGAATAGTGTTTGTATTTACATGACATGCGTAAAAATTTGGATAGCCTGCGAGAAGAAGATCTGAAGATGGTCATATATCTACAGACTACACAACCGAATGTTCGAAACTATGCTTTTGATGTGTTTTGTTTTTGATGTATGACTACGAACAAGTGTCCAAGAATCCATCAAATTGATCTTAAATTCAAAAGCAAACAGGTAATGTAATTCATCTGGACCAAAGTTTTTGACATGTATTCAACCAAACACTGAATTATCAAACACTCAACATCCACCAAAAAATAAAACAAACAATATATATTAAAAAACCCTAATCTTTTCCTATGAAAGAGTACCTACTACCTAGCTTAGATTATAGATTGTGAATCAAATTCCATTCAGTTCGCATTCCCAGAAATCAAGATCCTTCCGATCTTGAAACTCAAGAAAGCATCGATGCATGCATATTGTATCTGCTCCGCAGCCAGCCTTTCATCATCCCATCTGCTCATCGTCACATCCTCGGGCTTCGTCAACTCCTTCCCGAGGACCTTTCTCGTCAACCGTTTCAACCCTGCATTCCGAAGATTCCTCATACCATACTCCGCCGCCGCCAAAGCCCCGATGTCAACCGTATTCGCAACCTCCAGGTTCCAGTGCTCCTTAAGCTTCTCGACGTCTTTATCGATCCCAACGCCGGTAAATGTGTAGGAGGGATTACGGAGGAAGTTTCTAAGCGACTGAGGCATTGTAGGAGAGAAGAGGATCTGAAAAATCAGGCAGTGGCCTCCTACGCACAGTTGGAGGGTGGCCACCGGGTTTTCGTGATTCTGAATGAGGTTAGGTCGCCACTCAACATCAAGGCCGACGATGAGGGAGTGGAGACGACGGCGGTGTTTGTGTTCGATTTGGGATATCCATGTGTCGACGAAGGATGGTGTTTTTGTGACTATAGTTAAAACGGTGTCTGTGAAGAATGTCACCTCATAGTGTTCGTGGGTATCAGTGGGGATATCATGCTGGAAGTATCTAATCGACGTCCCCATGGCTATGGCTTATGTTGAGGAGTGTGATTTTGGGGGAGATATATAGAGTTGAATTGGAACCGGATTTGACATTTTTTTTTTCTTTTTTTTTTTAAATAGGAAACTTTACTTAATCAATGCACAATCTTCCGTGCGTTTATGGCGGTGTGTTGTTTTCTTGTAAATATATTCACTTCATACCCTTATAGATTAGTTGTTTTGCATTATGGTCCATTAACGTCGAAGTTTCATAAACAGAATCTAAGTATCTTTGGTTAACGTTATGTTCATTTGAATCTAACTATCCTTGGTTAACGTTATGTTGTTTGTTTTGTATGAAACGAGGGAAGTGAGGTCATGTTTGGTTGCAATCGCATGTATACATGTTTTAGTTTTTATGTATGTACTTGTATAGGGTCAACGCAACGGTTTAACGGTAAAAATTGACTCTTTTATATAAAAGATTTTAAGTTCAAGTCTTGGTGTATATATTGGTGATTATTTAGGAATTAGTTAGTTTTGAAAATAATATTAAAGGATTATACCTTCTAATGTTTTGAAAACGGGTTTTATAGTTGAATTGGTCTAATGGCTGATTTCTGGTTCAACTTGTTTGATCGTCGGTTTAACTAGTTCAACCATGAGTCTACATCCAGCAGTGGTGTGTGTGGGTCTTTGAGTGGTGTATACTTTGGATAACATGATCGATTGAGCTATTCAATTTTCTTTGGATATTGATTGTTTTTTAATGAGCTAAATAAAATCCAACTATCAAATTTCAATAAACCGACTCTGTCATGTCGGTTCAACCATGTTTCTGAAAAAACTATCAGGTTCAATCCGGTCTAGAACTTAGCATAAAATTGTTTGTTATTGAACCACCGAGTCCAACCGGTTCAAACCGGTTTTTAATTAAAACAATGATGAATTCTATTATGGTATCAACCTAAAAAGAATTTAAAGTTGTCACACCCTCGGCCGGTGGCGGAAACGCCAAGCCGTGACAGTGCCATGTTTGATTATCCGAACGACATGACTACATTGATTCTACATAATGAAACTTATCTATTTCCATGCTCTTGTTCTTCCTTGCATTAATATTTTCTTCTTCCAATTCCTAGGAATACATGCATTTTGAAAACGGTCAACATAATGTTGGTGAGTTCATAGGTGTTAAGCTTTAGGGGTATAATATCTTTGTTTATGAATACATAGGCTTCCGAGATACTTCTATTACTAGGGAGTATAACTTCTCACATTCTCCTTTAGTATTTGATTCACTTCTTTCTTTTGTCAGGAAGGAATTTGGATTATACACTCGATTACTTTCGAGTAGTTTTTAGATAAAATACTTAGGAAAGTATTTACCTTTATATTATATATTCTTATGTTTCCTTTTGATATAGTTTATTCCATAATTATTATGATAGGTGTGTGTGTATATATATATATATATATATATATATATATATAAATATAATTATTTGATATTCTTAGTATATTAGGGCAGTGTAACAACTAGGTACCATGCTTATCCTACAATTTTGCCAGCATAACGATTAGAAACTAGGTTATTCTAGGGAATAGGCCAACATAAAAACTATGTATAATCCTTGAGTATAATATTATGCATTATAACGACTAGGCGTAATATCATTCTTAAAACTTAGGTAGGGTAACTACCAGGCATAATATTATCCTAACTTTCACATGCAGTTTCAAAACTATCGATATATTATAAGTAATAATCTTTTGTAAAATCATTGAAATAGTTTTTTAACATGTATTCCCCACATATAACATTTGAAAACAGTAAAAGTTGGGCCGTGAAACTCACCTTAACAATGTGATTTGAAAGACTCAGGTTATCGCATCGGAAACTTCCAGCCATCTCTGGAGGAGGGGAGGATTCCAGATTGATTCAGAGAGAAAGGAAGAGAGTTTGAGGTGTGGATTTGGACGAAATGAGAAGGAAAGGATTCCAGATCTCTAAGTCTTGTGCTTAGATACTTATCATTTTCCGAGTTCTTTTACAATCGATGGCTGGTGATGATTGTCGCAATTGTCACACTCCCCCCGGTTTAAAGATTTTCGTCCTAAAATTCGAATTGTAGAGTTTTTCCTTAGTAGGGGAGACTGGTTTCTTAATCTTTGTTTGATCATTCCTTTCCGTTGGGATAACTTACCCTCCTTTTATCACCTATCTTTGGGTTTACGTTGTTTTTACTTCTAATTCTTTAACTTCATCTTTTTGGTGTTTATTTATTCCTATTTTACACCAAGAGGAAACCTAGGCTTAGGTTTTATTCTTCTTTTGTTTTGTTGTTGATTCATGGAGGGATTTCTATGTTCTAATCTTTATGAATAAGTGTAGATTCTATCTGTGTTGCAGTTGTATTACTTACGAATACCTTGTAAATGACGAAGGTCCACAAGACTTCGTTATGTATGTATTTACTAGGCACATTAGTGGTTTGCTATGTAATGACAAAGCCCTAGTATTTTTTGTATCTGTGAGTATCCTATAAATAGTGTAAGGTACATTGGAGGGTTGTAACCCTTTGCACTTGTACCGACTGAGCTTTCACTCTCATTATAGCTCTTCTTGTACTCACTCCAGATTAATTGAGCTGAATCAAGATCTTATTTAGATCTCGGTGTTCAAACTTACGATTGCTTAAAACTTAACTCAAACATCCTTTCAATTGGTATCAGAGCAGGAATCTACACATCGTTTGAAGAATCTCATTCACATTTTCATCTTATTAAGTCATTCTTTCCAATTCAATCATTCCGCAAGTGAAAATGTAATTCTTCAATCGATCACTGTGATTTTACGATTTTGCAATAGTTTTTGCATCCGATTTCTTCATTTTCAAAATTTATCCTCTTTTCAATCGATAAAATGGAAAATCTGAATGTCAACATTGTGATGAACTATGCTAACTTGCTTGAATCTGCAACAAAAATTTTGATGTTGCTTCCTAAGTATTACAATCAATGGGTGAATTTTATGAAATAATATCTCAATGAAATTGATGAAGATCTATGATGTTCAATCGATAAAGGACCTTATCATGTTGATCTTATTCTAACAGTTGGAAATTCTAGTGTTGTAGAGGACATGATTACTCAAGGCAACAAGAAGAAGGTGAATGATAAGCGTTATCTTTGTGAATTGCATGGAGCTTTGCCACCAGTAGTTTACAATTACATTCAAGGTTGCAAGACAACGAAATAAATTTGGGACACTTTCAAGGAAAAATATCAAGGTAATGTACGAACCAAGAAGAGCTCGGTCACTCAATGCTTATCGGAGTTCGTTGATTTCAAGCAGAAGGAGAGTGAATCTATCTATGCTTATCATGATAGATTCAGTGAGCTTATCTATAAGTGTACCAAATATGGAGTTGTTCTTACCATAACTTAGTTCAATGTCACCTTCATCCTAGGCTTGAAGAAAGAATGGAAGAACATTTTGTGACATCCCCATTTTCACGGCCAGAAAAAACCGATTTGTTTATGCTTTGTTTTATAAAATCAGAGTAATCTTTTAAAGAAAACGGTTGCGGAATTTGTTCCCAAAACAAGATATGATAATAACTTATCAAAACATTTCTCAAAGAGCGTGTATTTTCATTTAATAATAAAACATCGGGATGTCATGTTCTGATACAGACATATAAGCATAAACAGAACTTATATTTAATTACACTAATCATTTACATCTCCTTTAATCTCTCAGTGCAAAGCAGCTTCGTATCGATACCTGTGATACAATTAAACTGAGTGGGTCAGGCTTGGGAGCCTGGTGAGCATATAGGGTTTTCAACCCACAATAATATAATTATTATATTCAATCATCAAACAATCAACCCAACTACCCATCCCCGTTATCTCCATTTATTTCTTAAGTACCTTCCCTAAGGAATTATCCTAAGGGTCATCTCCTACATCGTATTTACCTCTCATCTCCTTACATCACATTTCCTTGTATGTTTGTTCCTAAGGACTTTTTCCTAAGGATCATCGCATGAATACGTAGTCACAACATCGCCTGGACTAGTAAGTCATAATAAGGGTTAGACTATCATCGCATGAATACATAGCCACAACATCGTCTGGACTCGTAATTCATAGTAAGGGTTAGAGTATCATCGCATGAATACGTAGTCACAACATCGCCTCGACTCGTAATTCATCACCTACAGGTTATGAGCCTGCTGGTGTTTCCACGGGGTCATCTAGAATAGTCCGTGGTCGCCATTTATACTCTGGTAGAAGACTACATCGCCAAATTTCCACATCGCCGGTCAAGGTTATGGTATCTCCTCTCATCTCACATCATCTATTTATCATTACATAATTATCATCACCTTTCTATCTTCACCTATTTCTCATCACCTAATTATCATCACCTGTTTCTCATCACCTAATTATCATCACCATTATATCCTCACCTTTCTCTTATCACATTCGTTCAACACACATCAACTATTTCATCTACCCATGTTCTACCCAACATATTTGTAGATATAAATTACATATATAGTTTAAATCATTTAACACCCATATAAAAACATCAATTCCAAGCCCATCTCATATAGACAATTAATATATAACACATAGCACGTATTTCATAGCTAATGCTTTATATTTATGTGTTTAGAAGAGAGTAACCGCACACTCACACATATAAACCACAATATATATACACATACCACGTATTTCGTATAAAATACTTCATAATTATGCGTTAGAAGAAAGTAACTATACACTCACTTGATCAGAAGACGATCGGACAGCGCTTGTAGAAGTAGTATTCTTCGGTAGATCTGGAAGATCTTCACAAAAACCGGACTCCTCGCGGGCAGAGCTTCGGATCGGGAATTGCACTTCTCGGGATCTTCGGGGCCTCGGGACTTGCTTCGGGGCTCGGGAATGATATCGGGGCTTCGGGATATTTCTTGCACAAAAAACGATGCAAAAACGGGAAGAAATGAGCAACTGAATCGGCTGCA